AATTTTTGATGTTAATGATGCCCAGGAGATGCAATAGTAGAACACACTCATCTAACTGTTCAAGTATTTAATTAATATACTTTATTCAAAAATAATATTAGCATTTCATATGCAAGTGAGGTTGTCCTATTTCATTGCCTTCCCTAATTTCATTTTGTAATTCAAGTGAACGTATTCATTCAATCATTTGATCTCTTGTACTTTCACTTGACTAGACATGAGTTTCCTTATGCAAAACACGTCTTGACATTATATGATTGGACACATAGTACCTCCACTTCATTGGAAGTGCCTTTTGAACGTATTCTCAAGTGAATAATTGTACTCCCTCACTACTAATGTGGTTAGCGTAGAATTTTAGTTATCATCTAAACATCTAATGAGGAGATAGAAATGGTACAATTAAACTAACTAAACTAGGTCAATGGAGAACTCGAAGCAAAAGACAATTAGAGGCTCATAAAGTATAAGTTACTGATAATGACAACAGTTGAACTTATTTTTAGAGTCTTAACACTTCATCCATGTCCATGTGCCACAACAATAGCGTTTCTAGCTTCTAGTGTATTCTTTCCTAAGTCGAAGTTACTATTTTTCCTTTTACTTTAATACTCTCTAACCATAAAAACTAACATTATTTATTTATTTTTTTGGTAATTACTATGTGCATTAGTATCAATACAATCGCAACCTTGAGGGCTTACTCAATTGGTCAGGCCTTGGGTTTGCTCCTCAATGGTCACCAGTTCGAGTCCCCTCAAGGCCACTGAGGTGAGTACCCGACCGTAAACTTCAGAGTCCCGTGAGATTAGTCGAAGTGCGTGCAAACTGGTCCGAACATCTACGGTTATTAAAAAAAAAAATTGCAATTTGATTTGATTGAGTTCGTCTGTGGATTAAGATTCAATTCTTAGCAACTCAACAAATTTTGTCTACTGTGTATTAAACTAATTAAAACCCATATTTCTGTACTCCCTCCTTTATAATTTGTAGGATTTTTCTCTTAATTTAGGTCAGTAAAGTAGATAGGTAGATCACTGTATATGAATAATATGTGAAGAAAAATATAATGACCGAATTTTAACACTTTAATATGTTATAAAATATTGTTTCAAAGGTGAATGGGAAAAAAAAAAATTAACGGCATGTTTGTTTTTGATTCTCAAATTCTACAATAAATCAATTCTCATTTTCAACCACACATTTTTCAATAAAATAATATTTTTCATCACATCAACAAGCACTAAAAAACAAAAGTTGCAAATTTACAACATTTCTGAAAAATAAACAAACAAAAATATATGCAAGAATATATTTTTTGAGTAGGAATGAATAAAAGGTTAATTTCATAAACGGCCACTAAATGTTTATAATATTTCAAGTAGGGCTGTCCGTGGGTTGGTTC